ATTGTCTGCAAAAAATTCTTGCAATCTAAAAACTATTTTACGGCTTTCTGCAAACGTTGATAAGCTGTAAAAAAAATAAATAAATGCTTCAAATTCAAATTTCATTGAAATTTTTGTATGTAAACATTGTTTTAGCACAACATGAGAAAAAGATGTTTTAAATGATATAAATAATTATTTTATTTTAAAATTAAATTTTTCTTAAAAATTTTGTAAGTAAGAATATCCATTATGAGATATGAGAAATATTTTTGATTGGGGGGCCCAATTTACAATCATTTTACGTGTAAAACTGAGCCTCCTCTCTTAAAAATTTAGTAAATTCAAAAAAGGAAAAAAAAAACATACTAGTGATCTGTAGTGTTTTACTCAATAGGAATATGAAAAATAAATTTGAAAAAAAAAGACTTTCTTGCAGATAAACATTTCTGTAGAAATGCCTACAATTTTACAAAATTATAATGCTAAAATTAAAGGGTCATGGTTATAGTGCTGTAAATTTAATTTGGGAGATATATTTTTTAAATTACTTGTTTTTAGAAATGATGGATACATTATCTTTTTGTATCTTCATTTCATGAAAGAACATTAACTGGCTTGCTATTGACATATTGTTAATGCAGAAGACAACAAATCTGCACAGTGGTTTTTATTTCACACACAGTTCTTTAGTAATAATGTACTGCATTAAACACAACAGTAACTTTACAGTGTTTTATTATTTAATTTTCTGTTTAATAATTAAATAAGATTTTAATTCTACAGAAGTAAAAAAAAATTACAGTAGAATGCAGTGAATTCAAGATGTGAAAGCCACTCAATGTAGACACATTGCTAACAATGAATGAGGTGTTTGAAATGAAGAAAAGATGTTTTAAATTTATACTAGATTACATTAGTCATATCTTTTGCATGAGGTGTCATGATTTTTATCTATGCAATTCTATTGTCATATGTAAGAATTCTCATTAGAATCCATCTTGCACATTTATAAATCTACCATTTGTCCATACATTGAATACTGTAGCCATATCTGGTCTGGTGCTTTACATCTCAAGATTCTTGACAAAATCTAAAGAAGGCTCTAGAATACAATTGATCCTGACCAGATATCTCAACTTCAGTCACTTCCTCACCACTGTGATGTGGCTTCCCTCTGTCTTTCATACAAATATTTTCATGGCAACTACTCTGATGAGCTTTTTTTCTTGGTGCACCAAATATGTGAATGTAAGTGTTCAACTGGGTTTCACTGTTTTACTGTTGAAATAGCTAAATGCAACCACCACTTCTACTCCAAAAGATTCTTTTCTTGCCTTTCCCACCTGTGGAACTTTGTTTTCTTGCTTCCCTTCTTAAATTTAAATGCAATGTTCCATCTTGAATCTCATTCAGCTTTTGTCCTTTCCTCATTCCTTCCCATTCTCAGTCTTATCATTCTCTTTCACTCCTTGTAATCCTTTGCATTCTAGTGGCATTATCACCTTGCTTGCAGTTAAAATATATATAAAAAAGAAAAAAAAAAGAAAAGTAAAAACTAATGAATTCTAGTTCAGCTTGACTTCACTTTTACTCTTCCCTGTTTAGAGCACAATGTGATTTTCAGTTTCAGCATTTGGAATTTGGGTGTGTTTTATATACCACAAAATATAGTCTTTGGGCTTATGGCCACATCATGTTCATATGATCACTGAAGTTAAGCAATGACAAGCTTAGTCAGTACCTAAATAGGTGACCACTTGGGAATACCAGGTGCTGTATTCTTGGATGTACGAGTGGTGTAATGGATAATGGCTTGGAATTGTTAATTGGAGAGCCGAGTTTCAATTCCAGTTGGGTTCGTTATATTTGTTTACATGCAAATGCACTTGGGAAAGGTAGGAATCTCTCTCTCTCCTTCCCTCCTATTTGTAAAACTTGTATCACTAAATCATTATCTCCAAAAAGAAAATCTTACAAGCTAAAAATATTTTCTGCAAAGGGTTGATAAGCCATAGAAAATGAATTGATCAATGAAATACTGATTAGCTACACAGGCATGTCTTTTAGATTTATTTACATTCTCTGGAATAGAAATGTATAGAAACTATTGTGTCCATAAAGTAAGAGGTCAATTTATATATTGATTGTCATATCAAATTGATCTGCTTACTATATCAACATTATAATCTTTTTCTTTATCAAATTCTGATTAGGTATGAATCCACCTTCCCCCCCAGCTATGGGTTAATTAATAAGACTTGTTTGTATCATTAAATCATTATCTCACCCCCCAAAAAAATCTTACAATCTAAAATTATTTTTAGGCTTTAAATAACTTGCATGTCATTTTTTTTCTTTAAACTCCTATAAAGAAAATGTCAAAAAAAATTATGATCACATGAATGTTTTAGTAATATTATTTAGTAAGCATACGTCTTTGCAAGTAAAACATCCATATATCAATAGATTTAGTTTCATTATTAGTCACATGTGTCTTGTACATTTACAAACACAGATTTAATGAGATGGGCACTGAGATTTTTATAATACATCCCAAACAAATCTGTCAATAGAAGACAACAATCCTGTTTTACCTCTGAAATCCAATGTATTGATAATAGTCCTCCTCCTCCTATGCTGTTGGGATATGAATGATCTTGAACAGAAAATCAACATTCTTTACCAAATGTTCCAAGATATAGGATTCAAGATAAACCTTTCCAAAACAGAAACTACAATCTGGAATTGGAATGAAAGTAGTGATGGCACATACCCTAAATCCTTTGAGTGAGTGAAGTCTGATGGTCTTGCTAAAGATCATTTTTCTTTAAACATTGTATATAAGAGAAACAGAATCACAAAGTACTGTCATAGATAACAGAAATCCTATCACTTAAGCAACTTTCAACAGCAGCAACAGCTAAAATGAATAGCACAAGTAACTGGAAGAGAAGATAATGACATAATCAAGATGTTGACATTCTACATTACTTCAAATAGAAGGTTAGGAAGGACCCCCTGTCTCCCATCAATACTGGAAATAAAGATGAGAACTATTTGAAAAAACCTATTTTCCTGAAAAATTGTTTTAACAGAAAAGTTTTATAAATCTCAACCAAAAACAGTTCAGGCTGCTTGGTCAATGAATGCCAAATGTTTCCTTGTAGGGAAACACCTAATATTATCATGACTGCATTATGTAAATTACAAATGGTATATTTCCTAGTTGATTAAAACTGTCTTTTTTTTTTTTTACCTTTGTGCATGCAGTGTGTTATTCATACCAAGAAATACCAAATAGTCTGAATGAATTTAATGTCAATATAGAACATTTTTTTGTAAGTTGATCCTGTGATGGCCCCAAAATATACTAGGCTTACTTCAGATGAACCCAAAATACAAAGTGCAATGGATAAGTTACACAAAAATGAAAATAATGCTGATGTCTCATTTTAACAGATATATTTACCAAAATTACACAAAAATATCTTGAAATACTAAAAAGTAAATTTATTCAATAAAATAGCTATTGGCTTCAACCATGGCCTCCTGATGACTTTAGAATCTCCTGCAACTCTTCTGGACAGTCTCTTTGTTTAAGTTGATAAATGCTGCTATAATCCTTGTCTTCAGTTCATCTTTGGTATGCCTGGAAGTTTTTTTGGTCTCTCGCTCAGCCCATACATAATAATCAAGGAGGTTACAGTTTGGGGAGTTGGGTGGCCAGAGGTAAGAGGTGATGTGGTTGCAGGAATTGTCTGACAGCCATGACTGGGTTCTCCAGCTTGTGTGGCATGGTGCAGAGTCCTGTTGCCATACATAGGGTCTTCCAGCAGTCACCCTCTTAACTCATGGCAGCACTATGGAGGTATAATGTTGCCATCACTAGTGATCACTCCAAATACCTTTGTAATCATCATTAGAATCATCTAACTCTTTCTGAATCCTCTGCACTGTCCTAAGATTGACACTCAAACACTGAAATATTCATATGTGAGTTTCCGGCATGAATGCCAAGCAGTACAGCATGCCGTTCCAAATTTTTGGTAGAGTGAATTGTGTTATGGTGCTCTTTTTCTTACAGACAGTGCCCAACTGACCCTACTATGCTGTGCAGTTGACACAATCAAAAACAAACATGTATATGTGCATTGTTTGTTTTTGATTTTGGATAAAATGGCGACAATTTACCCATTGCATCCTGTAGACTTTGCATTGAGTATCACATCAGAACCTCAGAAGCCAGATACATCAGCAGCTTTGATCTTGAAGGTAATCTAGTAACCAATTGCAGATTTACACCTCACAGGATGTCAGTGGCTGCTCCTGATATATAAACAAGTGGTCAAACCATATGCACTTAGGATGTGCCCATGTAAGTCAATTTGGTGACAAGAAGATATATAAGCACTCCACCTCAGTGGGGTGAAGCAGTCCCTCTCTCACGTCCTCACAAGAAGAGAAATCCACCTTCAGGGAAAGCCCCAGAAGTCACACACTCACTCACGGATAATAATTGGCAAAGTTCAGAGGTGTATAAACAATAATTTATATATGAGAGACTTAATCTTGTTTTGTTTGTACAAGGATAACATTATACATGCAGTTTTTAGACAATTTGTTGTTTTTTCTTTTGATCATTTTGTTCAGTTTTCTGTTCATTTTGACCTTAAAATTGGATTTAAAATCTATCATTTTCTTGATCAAAAGTAAAAACAAAACTTTAGATAAAACTTTTGTTAAAAATTTAATTTTGTGTTTGTGTAATTATACAAGTTGTACTAATAAAATGATAAACAAGAAATTATAATTCTGAAATCTGTTTGAACCAGAGCATCACCAGGTAATCTTGCCAGTCTTTGATAGAAAATGAGAGCCTATAAAATAATAGCAAAAATGTTAAAACTACAATTGATATTTTTAAAGATTAATGTCAAAATCTTTCTTGGTCTTGTAATCTGTCTCTTGATATGCTTCAGTTTTGACATGAAATATTCTATTTTGTTTTTTCTTTTTAGGATAAACATGGAAATGTGTTTGCAGTGTTTGTCTTGGAACACAATGAATTGTCCCAAGCAATGTGGAATATCATGTAAGTAATGAAGGAAAAGTAAGTAAGTATGTATGCATGTATGTGTGTGTGTGTGTAATATATATATATATATAATTTCATAGAAGAATACTATAATAATTGAACTCTCTAGAAATTATCATTTAGTAAGACTGGCTTGTTAACCCTCACTGTCCATTTATTCCTAATTGTATACTTAAAGAAGAAAAAAAATTAAATATATTGTCCTGAACCCCGTCGCCAATTAGGGTGATAGGGGTACCACATGTTCTGCAACCATAGCTGCAGTGGTGTGGCTATAAGATAGTTTGATGGAGCCCATTTCCTTTCATAATGGTTTTGAATACAGACTTGTTGTTCTTCTTAACTGGTTGCCCTATCAAGGCCAAAGAGTTCATTCTGCCCTATTAATTAGGGGGATTCAAATTCAAAGATTTCCTTCTAGACTGATTACAAAGTAAGAGAGCCCAGTCTGATTTGCTGTTTAACCCATAGCAGGGCGAAGATGCATTTTCCAAAGCATTAGTTTGAAATGAATGTAACAGACTTTGTCAGAATTTGAACTCTAGATGCCAAGGATGCAGTTAGGCTACAGATATGTCCAGTGGAAAATAGATAAATAAAAATGAATTTTGGGTTTTCTTTCTTCAGGGACTGGTTGCCAAATGAAGAAAAGACAGCCCAGTCATCCCTGCTATTTAATTCATACCTGATCGAGAGAAGACATGGATTCATGCCTTTTCCAAGGGTATTTGTGTCACATCATAGATTAGCGATGTCAAAGATTGTATGAAGACAAAAATACTGTTAGTCAGTGGGATACTGAGAGAAAAGACATTTAAAGCAAGTAGTCTTTGCAATAAAGTACTCAATATCAAAGATAGAGCATTAATAGAATTAATATAAATAAAAGGTTTGTCACTAAGCTGATTGATGTTACCTTTAGCATCCTGACTCCAGAGTTTCATAGATGGTTCTGTCTGTTCGCTCATCAGTGGGTATCAGAAATTGACTGCATATACTTGGTTTTTCTTTTTTATATGCACTTTAGTGCAAGTTTTTTTTGTAGTGTGTGTGTGCGCTTGTACAAAACTCATCATCTTCTAAATTCAGTACTTTTATGTAATTGTCTTTTACATATACTTGAAAAAAATCTTTCATGGTATGTAAGATCTATTTTTTTCTACAAATGTTAAAATTTCATCATTTATAATAAAACATCTGACATCCAGTGTAAAATATATGTAGTCATTCCTTGTTATAATAGAGGGCTTACTTGTCCCAGTGATCCCAAGTGCAAAGATGCCTGGAGTTCAAACTCCTGTAGGGCCATCCATGATGGTAAGATCAAAGGTAGCAGCACCAGTCGGGCTGGCATAACCAAGGCGGACCATGACAGATTAAGTATCTGAAAACCCGATACAACCAGGTTCGCCAGATCTCACCTGTCTCAATCACCTTTGAGCCACAAGGGAGGCACTTCTGGGCGAGTGCATGGGCTTCTCCATTAAATTCCTATGAATGACATTGTCAAATTCTGATTCCCAGCCATCTCCGCCACTGTGCAAGAGAAAGGGATTAGGGATAGAGGATGGCAATCCTAATGCTCAGATGCAAGTGGGTGCCGACAACAACAAAAATAAAATACCAGTTCTTGCCTGATCACTGAAGTTAAGCAATGTTGAACCTGGTCAGTACTCAGATGGGTGGCTGCTGGAGAATACCAAATGCTGTAAGTTATATGTCAGGCCTAACAAACCTGCAATGGATGCAATCTTGCTGTTTATAGAAGACCTCAATAGGTAGCAAGACCTACCTGGAGTTGGGTGAGTGGTAAGGTGAGTGTTATAATAAATGCACAAAAAGAATCTATTTTTGACCAAATTAGGAACATGAATGAAATTCAAAGTACCATCTAACAATTTATTTTTTTTATTTCCTGCTGAAATAAAAGGGTGGGTAATGTTTTCAAGTACAATATTTTTTATTTATGTTTCACTATACTATTTATAAGATTAATATTAATCTGATTATTTAGTTTTTGAGTTTTTACCTAAAATAGTAGACCATTCCATATGTTTATTATTGAAGCCCGTCGCATAAAAAGCAGTTCTTACCCCTGAACTTGTAATGCCCTGGAAAATATTCAAACTAGTTATATTGATCAATATCCCTTTTCTAAAGTACTTCTCACTGGCATGTATCCACATGATTTGTTGGTATCTTTTTATTTTTACTATCTGTATCTCTTTTAAACAATAGGCTCCACTCCAATAAGTTCTCTTCCTATATCTGTCCTCTTCCAAGTTTCACCTGTCTGATCATGTCAGTTTTACTGCTATGAATTGACTGCCAACAAAAGAATACTCCATACCCTGGCTTGCTTCCTGATTGCAAGCAATACATGGAAAAGATTGCCAAATATGTTTGAGGACAAACAATCAACTGTCAGTAACATAAATGAAGCATCTCTATATTTATCTAATTCTTTCAACATAGTGTGATATGTGGGTATCATAACAGTTATTTATAGAGAGTTGAATCCAAACCATGTTCATATTTCCTCTAAGTCTGATTTATTGACTTCACACTGATGCCCTTGCAAAAGGCATGAATTCATCTATTCTCCTCCCAATGGATTAAATAGTAAGGTAGACTTGGCTTTCTAGCTTTGGAAAGCTCTTACAAATCTACCATTCATCCGTGCACTGAATATTGCTGCAATATTTAGTTAGGTGCCTTTGCTATATATCTTGAGATCTTCAAGGAAATCCCCCCCAAAAGGTCTGGAATATTATCTGTCCTGACCAGGTATCTCAACTTCAGTCACTTTCCCACCACTGTGATGTGGCATCCCACTGTCTTTTCTATAATATTTTCATTGCAATTGTTCTAATAAGCTTTCCTCCTTGGCACCTCAACCACATAAATTTAAGCATACTACTAGATTGGTAACTAGATCTCAGTTTTACTGTTGCATTAGTGAGATGTATCTGTAAGTTCTATTCTAATAGTTTCTTCTCTCATACTTCTCACCTGTAGAAATCTCTCCTGGATTTTTGCTTCCCTGCCATTTACGATCTTCAAAAATTTAAATGCATCATCAATTGTCATTTTCTGTCTTCCTGATTCCTATTCTTTTATTATCCTTTCTCCTCACTAACATCTCATTTTCTTTCACTCTCAATAAACCCTTGAGTCTTAGTGGCATTGTCACCTTACTTGGGATGAATTAAAAAAAAAAAAAAAAACTGATTGGATGTACACATACTAGCCATTCACTGTATCTGAGCCTCCTCAGTTCTCCTGAATAATCCCATCTTGATACTAAATCATGGGGGGAGGGGAATGTTGAGAGGTGGGGTCTCGGTCGGAGCCTGTTTAATTGCTTATTTAACCAAAGATAATTCACTCATACATATACTCTTCCTTGAAATGAACTATCATCATCTCTTGGGATGGATAGTGATACGTCACATAAGCTATCTACTATTTTGTCAAATGATGATTCACAAGTGGTGATATTTTTAGAGGAAATGTCTTTAAAATAACTTTTCAACTTTGAACCATTTTCACATCAGATATTTTTTCTTCTTTGAGTGTTTACTTATAAATACATTTTAACTTTGCCTATTTAGTCAAACTAGAACAAAGACACCAACTGCATAGTAAGTTAGTCTCATAAGCTATTACTAGTGAATTTTATTTCTACTGGATCTCTATTATTTTGCCCTTATGCCAGACTAGAGTAAATCTGTTGAATTTTTTTTTTTTATTTTAGCTGAAACATTATCAACCATCATCAAGCAAATAAATTAAGTCAGATTTTGTCATTTGCCATTTGAGGAATCTCTTGTAGCTCATTTGGTTAGAGAATTTGCTATATAGAGATAGGCTTCCTAAGGTAAAATGAATGATGGTTCAAGCCTTGCCTGGAGCTTATTATTTATTTCTAATCCATATTTGCTTCCTGCCATAGTCTTGTGAGTAAATAAAAAAGCAACTAAAAATATGAAGAAAACAAGAAATGAAAAATCTCTGTCCTCCTCCTCCTCTCTGCCTGTTTTCCTCTAATAGAACAGCAGTGAATTTCATCATCCAAAGTCAACATTAAAAAAACATCACTTTATAATAACATTATAATTTTTATTTTATACTTCAAGTATTCAATCTCTAGTTAACAACTATGAAATTTATACTGCTTGTTCTAGGATTGCTAGAGAAAAGATCTTTAGATCTTGTTTTAAGTCTGCTATCTTATTTCATGGTAAATCATTGTTAATAAAGACATTTAGGAAGACTTGGATCATTGTGCCTGCAATAAAACCATGTGTCAAAAGGACGTTTTTTCTCTTGACATCGCTATTATTTTAACTACTTTCACTCCAAGGCAATGTTTTATTGTTTGAAAATGATAAACACTATTATATTGTTTACTGGAATAGTTACCAAAACATTGACTAATTGCCAATCAATTCAAACTTTATAAAATGGTAGATAATAAGGTTTTCTTATAGTTGGTTCACATATTTTAATAATTTAATAAATCTTTATAAAATTATGAATACAAATTGTTTTCATATTTATTGCTTTATAAATTGGTAAATGATAAATATTGCATTGCATTAGTTTTAATTGTATTCATTTTAAGAATGTTGTGATACTGAGCTGTTGGCCTGTGGTCAACTCCCAGTCACTGCGCAAAACTGTAATATTTATGCTACCCGACGGAATCCTTTGGTCAGGGTACCAGGTGGGATGGTCGGTTGAGGCTAATGGCTTCACAGCAGCTGCAACTGGTTCGACACCAGCTCTGTCGTTCCTAGCTCACTTCCAATGTCTGGTTACCGAAGTAATTGCTTCGATCTCAAGTCTAACCTACCCATGTTGTGATTTTGATCTTAGGTAGACAAGATCAATCAGTCATTCGTCAGGCCGTTGTATAAGATGAGTCTAGACTGGAGGTGATATCGCACAAGCGTAAAGAAAAGAAGCAAATAAAAACCCAAGTGGGTTTTGTTGAAAGAAACAAATCAACTCTTATCCATCTGTTATTATACAGGAGTGTGTTTTTCTCCCAACCTGTTTTTTTTTTTTTTTTTTTTTTTTTTTAGTGTGACACTTTTATGCTTCTTAGGCAAGTTGTGGTCTTCTAAGTCAACTGGTTTAGTTTTTAAATGCTGGCTTAGCTTCATTCGTCAGTATAGGATAGGCAAAGTCGGAGGTTGTGGAATCTCATGGTCAGCTTCTGCGAGGTAACACTCTGGTTCCAGTAACTTCAAAGGCTCTAACTTCAGTTGGCCCCAACTCACGAACTGTCAAATGGCCTGAGGATGTTCGTTTATATGGATACCGTCCAAAAAACCAGTGTGGGGTTAGACGCAGTCTGAGTTTTTTTGTGAATCCTGATTTCTAACAAGAAACCTCTTTGTTGTCAGGCCAGGAAAATAGATTACTTCCCATTTTGGAAAATTAATCACTTCCCATTTTGGGGGGATCCCTTCGTCTGTAAGGAGAGTTTGTAGGATAGCTATCCTCCTAAACTCCCCCCCTTCTCACATTGATACCTTATACCAGTTCTTTCAGTGGGCGTTAATAATTCTCATCAAATTACCTCCACCTATCACCATTGCTACCACTTGACCAATGGTGTCCCGGCTGTGTGGGTGTGGTTAAGCTGGCCTCATTAAAATTATAACCCAGAATATTTTTGTTTACAAAATTCTCTTCCCCATTGGCCAAAATTTTTACAAATCTCACATTGCCACTTAAAATGTCTCGGATCTTTTAGTCACTCTATGTCTTCTTAACCAGCACTTTTTACAAATTCCAATCAATAAATTGTCAAAGTCTGCCATCTGGTCCCTTCTTGAAGTTAGTGTTTACAGGAACTCTTGGCTTCTTGAGAAAAATAAATTGATAATAAATTTCTTTATCTCCAAATTGGCAATTCTTCCGAGATATTTTTCTCATGCCAAAATTTTATAATCAACACATGGCTACTTAACGTGTCAGTACTGAAGATGACATCTTGAAAAAATAAACCAGGGTAATTCTCTCTACCTCCTATCGACAATATTTCGGAATATTTTCTCATGCCAAAACTCTTTATAATTACCATATGGCCGTGCCTTGCTGGCACTTAAGATGATATCTTGTTCTCAGGTTTTTCATTAATCAATACTTTTACAAATATCATTAATCAGTTGTCAAAAGCTTGCATCTGGCCTTTTTGTGAGTCCACTGTTTATGCCAATTCTTGGATTTTTTGAGAAAAGTAACTTGATCTTATTTTTAACATAAAAAATAAAAATTTTGGGGTATCTTCTTTTCTGTTCTCAGTATTTTCTTGGTTAATTAGTTAATTTTTTTTATGGTTCATTAGTTAATTAATTACCATAGCTAAATAGTGTCACAATGTTGTAAATATAAAATTATTCTTGTACATAAACAATCTAATAAATAGTATTTAATATTTTTGTTGCTAATTTTTAAGAACAAAAAAAATGTAAATATTCACTTTCATCATGTTTGCTGCATTCACTTTCACACAAAAAACCTTGGGGAATGTATGAAACTATTTCTTCTCCACCCAACTATGGGTTAAATAGTAAGGTAGACTAGGGTTTCTAACTTTGGTTTTCTCCCAGTCCAACAGAAGGAAAACTGAATTTCAGTGTTGAAGGCAATGGGAAACCTCTCTAGGCTTACAGCCACTTCATGTTGAAACCCAGGTTAAGCAACATCAAACATGGTCAGTACCTAGATGTGTGACCTCTTGGGAAACCAAGTGCTGTAAGCTTGGATGTGCAGGTTCTATAATGGATAATGGCTGGGGATAGTTAATCGGAGAGTTAAATTCCAATTCCTGTTGGGTTTGTTATATTCACTTACATGCAGATACCCTTGGGAAAGGTATGAAACCACCTATTCTCCTCCCAGCTATGGGTTAATTACTAAGACTTGTATCATTAAATCATTATCTTCCCCACAAAAAATTCTTAGCTGACTGCACCTCTGCAGAGGGCTAAGAACATACAGAGGCATCCTGGGTATGACAATATATTGCATCTGCCAGCAAGGCTTCTGATCAAGAGGTTTTGATGAGTGTGGAACTACTTAATTGCTGGTGTTCCCAGGTCCACTCTGACCTGAAGTGGTAGCACCTGTTATGGTCTCATCAATGGGCAAATAGTTAACTCCCAAACTGGGATCAAAACACTATGAAAGTGTAAAAATATATTTTAATACCAGCAATAAGAATTTTGTTGGCATAAAATAACCCATTTAGGTTGATATGCTGTAAAACAAAACAACACAAAGCCAAACCAAACCAAAAAATTCTTACAATCTAAAAATATTTTCTGGCTTTAAATAACCTGCAAAGGGTTCATAAGCAATAGAAAACAAATCAATCAACCACTCTGCTATCTTTCATAAAAAGCCATGGTTATTCACAGATAATAAAGAAAAAGGAAGCTGTTGAGAGCCATGTTCCCCTACATTCTGATGGGACATAGCATTATAAAAAAAAGTGGTTGCTGTAGTTATACATGAGGTTGCTGAAAAGTTTCTCAGAATCTGATCAAATAATGAAGTAATAAGAATTTAAAAACATTTTTTGGTCAGCTTTTCAATACTCCAATTGTGTGTATAATGTTGCTTTTTCCATATGTAAGATTAATAATTTTAGTTGTTTAATTTTTATTTCATTTCATGATTATCATCCCCGAAAAATGAAATTCATATTGAAATGTACATCACTTTTCACCAAATTTGCCTCTATGTTGATGTTAAGTTCATTTGCTGAGGATTTATTTTTTTATCCCTATCCCATAAATATACTTTGTATAATCTTTCTTTTTAGGTTCAAATTAGTTTACACAATCCGTCTTGAAGAATCTGCCTTGCATGTTGATTTAAGCGTACACAATACAGGTAATTATTCCTCAATGCATTTTGTTTGATGTTTTGATGCACTGTTAGACAAATTTCATTTTGTTACCAACACAAACGTTACACATAAGTGAATTTCTTATTTGAAAAGATGCAATGCGCACAAAGAGAGAAGGAGAGAAAAAAAATGGAGTTTATGAAAGAAGAACTGTTTGAACCAGAGCTGTCAATGCCTGTCTCTGGTTTCAAGTCTGTTATAAATACTTTACTGTCAAATTAATTTATTCCTGGAAACATGTTTTATTTTCTGGAAAATGTCCTTTTAACTGTTACAACAAATAAATAATGTATTTGCCAGCATATAGAAATAGATTTAAATGAAATAAAAACTGTGCCAATATAACCCTGTATCCAATCCACAGATATGATGACAACTAAGAGGTTGTTTACTGAAGCTTGTAATAGCTGGTTTTGGAGGTTGGTCAAATAACAGTAAGTAATAGTCTCTCAAGTCAACCATGCATCTTATCAGCCTGCAAATGGAATAATAAATATTTTTCTCTCCCTTATGAATGGTGGGGAGCAGATGCTATTTGTACATTTGGATATTAATAAATGATAAAATGGGAGTTTATTATTATTAAAATTTTCAGAAAAATAATAATCCTAAAATGATTCTTTTTATCTTAAAAAAAAACCCAGTTTGCTGGGGCCTTATGGCCACAACACATTGAAACATTGGTTTCCCATACAATCACCAAAGTTAAGCAACATCAAGACTGGTCAATACCTAGATGGGTGACCATTTGAGAATACCAGGTGCTGTAAGCTTGGATGGATATGTGGGTGGTCTTATGATAATGACTTGGAATTGTTAAATGTACAATGTATTTTAAATGCTAGATCATCCGCAGAAAATTTTCATCCAGGTTTTTACGTTTCACCTTTCTTGGCAGATCTTCTATTATCACAGTGTGCAATATTTAATAACAAAAGTCATGGTAACATAAAAAAAGAAAGAGAATCTAAATGAAATCAGATTATTTACCCAAAGAATATGTTAAAAAAAATGTTTAAATTTAGATTCCTCAGAATCTTTCTTTTATTCATGCACTTGTGTAGTTGCATCAACGAAAATGTAAACTTAGTCTTATGAAGTTTTAAAGGACAAAACACGTCACATGGAAACTTTTTCCACTTTGTTATTCTTCTTTCTTCTAAAATTGTTCTTGGAATATAAAAAATCACCACAATAAGATAAAAAAAATGAGAAAAGAATTAAAAGGTTCGATAAATTTTATGACAATCAAATATTCAAGTTCATAAATGTGTATTTTTTATTTATCTCACCAATTTTTCTTTCCTTTTTTTTCTTGTTACTTTTTTCTTTTTTTTTCTTCTTTTTGTGTTTCTTTTTCTCTCTCTCTCTCTCTCTTTCTTCTCTCTCTCTCTTTTTTTTTTTTTAGGGAAACAATTTCAAATGTCATTGGAAGTGTATGTAAACAAAAAAACAGCCTGAGTGTTTCAACAAAGCAACAAAAAAAAATTAACTCGTAAAACAAAGGAAGATGAATAATAATAATAATGATACTTGTTCATTCAAGAGATTTAGACAATTTAAGACTTTTCTTTGCATTTCTTTCACAACATTTTGACCTTTTAAGCAGATTGAACAATAAAAGTGAAAAACATCTTGCAAAGTTCAATTGACTATATGGATTAGACTCTCTCTCATGCCATAAATATTCCATACAGATGACAACATATGAATCTGTTGTCTTTCCACATTTTGCTTGACTGAGTAAATATGCTCAGCATTTATTTGTTCTGTGAAGATGAAGATCAAATTAAGAGTTAACAAATACAATAGAATATGGTTGAAGTTGTTTCTATTTTGGTCTGTTAGCAACCTTGCTAGAAGAAAAGGTCAAAACATTTACTGCCACATGACACACACATCTGCATCTTGTGGAGTGCTGCTGATGCATACATGTCCATTCTACTAGTTCATTTAAGACAATATTAAATATGACTTAAAAGAGTTATTTTTTTTTATCTTGATTTGCTGAATTGCTTTTTGCTAAAAAAAAAATACTTATGAAAAGAAAACCCAAACAAAATGATAGTGCCACACTCGCATATTAATGTTATTCTTCACTACCCCTGCTCTTTCAAACATTTTTATTGTAAGGGTGCACAAATGAAAAGATTTGAAATTGTCATCTTTTTTCATTTCACTGAAACATCTGTTAAACACTTCTGTCTTCCCTTTCTTTCTTATTTCTTACATTTTCTCACTGAAACCAAGTAGTGTTTCTGGTGTGTGTGTTCTGTGTTTTCACAAAACTAAATAGTCCATTATTTATGAGGTATTGGCACAATAGGGCAGGTTGATTTTGGGACTGTGATATTAATAGTTGGGGCTTGAGATGATAAAATTATTTATCATCTCAAGCCCCAACTATCAATATCACAAATCCCCCCCCCTAAATTTTTACTGTTTTTGAGGAAATTACTTTGGAGATATTAAGTTCAAGTTCAAAATTGTAGCATCGCAATTTCATTAAACAATGCAAATCTTATTCACTGAGAATACATTTTTGTACTCTTTTTATAAATTTTTTTATAAAGTTTTAATTATCAAATACAGTAAAAAAATTTTTAAATCACCTTGATGGTTTGTCTCAATGTTTAAACTGATCAAGAATGAGGTATCTCAAGTTTCTGTTGAAAATCTTTATAACTGTTAAATAAAATACTATCACAAACCCCATCTTATGAACAGTTCTCTTAATAATTTTAAAATAATTCAGCAGATGATTGTAGTTTATTTATGATAACTGTATTTTTGGCAATTATTTTACCTAGTTTCTGTTATTGGATACTGTGTGCCTGAAAAATGGCACTTTTATCGCTGTTGTCATAGTTTCTCAGCATTTTTATCCTCATTTTTTTATCTTGATGGAACCAACCTTTAACATTTCCCCCATTTCCAAATTTATTTCGTCTCTGCTCTGTCTCTAGCAAACAAGTTTCTTGATTCTGCTTATTGGCAGAATACAGCAGCTGCTCCTATTTTAGTGGGTTGGACGGGCCATTTTTGTTTCAATTCTTTGGTCTCTTTTATTTTCATTATTGGGTTTATCTCTTCCCCTTTCATTTCAGGGTAAAAATTTTGTAATATATTTATATAATAAAATTATAAAATATGTATATAATTTGTACATTTTGAAATTTCAACGTTGTCCGTGTTTCAGTAGAACCCCAACCAATATATATTATGGTATATTTTAGGTTGAGTGGTGAAGGGTGTGTTCTTGTGGTGATTGAGGAAATTGTTTAAGATGATCTTGGATGAGATTAAAAGTACTTGGGGGAAAATAAAAAAAAATATAAAATAGCTATACCGTCTTTCTCAATCAATTTTATACTGACACTAAGAAATTGATATGTGAATATAAGAGGATTAAAATAAAAATAGAAATAATATGTCTAGCTTGTTCAATCAAACATGCTTGAATGAAGATATGCTGCATATATATATATATATATATATATATATATATATATATATATATATATATATATATAGACCTGACAGATTTTTTTTTATTTATTTGTTTAAAAGTTTTTGTTTTTTTTTTTTAAATGGATACTCATATTTGAGTAGGTGCTCTGTTTTTATTTATTTATTGAACAGTATATTTATCTGTTAAAATCTGCTGTCCTGAATATTTGAGAAAATCTTGTTAGAAAAATGTGCATCCTCCAGCAGGATTTGAACCTGCATCCTGTTTGGGAAACTGTCATTAGACCTGACATGTCTTAGACCAACTCGGCCTTGTAGGATCTCTTGATCAAACAAAGTCCAAATAGTGCTTTTGAACACATATTTTCTCAATTCTTGAAATATACATATCTGCTCTATTTGGTATCCTAATGTAAACAAAGACAATATTTTTTTTAATATTTCTCGAATATTCAGGCCAGTATATGTAAATAAATAAATATACTGCTTAATAAATAAATAAAAACATAGCATCTACTCAAATATGAGTATCCATTTTAAAAAATACAAAAACATTTAAACAAATAAATTATATGCATATGTATATGTGTGTGTTATGGGATATCCCATTTAGTTCTTATTTAGTGCTGCTCAGTTATTACTTGCCCCATTTCCACTGGGTCCAAGTTCATACTACTCAGTCCAAGGATTGAACCCACAATTACTATATTGCCAAATTCACAAACCAACAGGTTAATCCACTACGATATTGTCCACATGCAATAGCAACAAAGATGGTGGACAAAATGGTCTGGTGTTCCTGCTATACATCTTGAGGTTCTTGACAAAATCAAAAGAAGGATCTGCAATGTTGAGAAGTTGAGATCCTGACTTGGGATCTCAACTTCAGTCACTTTGTCATGGATTCCCTCTGTCTTTTCTACAAATATTTTCATGGCAACTGCTCTGATGAGCTTTTCTCCTGGTACTCCGACTACATGAATTTAAGTGTGCTGTTTGCTGTTGAAATAGCTAAATGGAATGACTTCTACTCCAACAGTTTCTTTTCTGACACTTCCCACTTGTGGAACTCTCTTCCATTTACTTGCTTCCCTGATAAGTACAATCTTCAAAAATTTAAATGCAATGTCAATCATTATCTTTTATTTTCTTGAATCCCATTCATCTTTTGTTCTTTCCTCAATCATCTCTATACTTAGTCTTTTTCTCTCACTTTCACTCCCTGTAACTCCCCTGGGTACTAGTAGTATTTCCATTATACTTGGGCTGAAATGATTAAAAAATTTTTTTTTTTTTAAATAGTCCATGTGTACATAATGACAACTTTCAAAAATTCAGATAGAAATAAACTTCATTCTATGCAGTTTGAACTTGTTATAAATATACAAATTTAAAATTGGTAATTGAATGTAAAATGACCCACTCAAACATACGTCTTATAGGCTGTCATTTCTTTTGTTGGGTGAATGTGAGGGTTAATCTAAATGAATTCTTTATAATATTGAGAAGAAATTTTTGTTTTTCTAGTAAGTGCCATTCCAAAACCTAATGATCTTACTTCAAAGTCTGACCATAGCAAGAAAATAGGATGAGTTGGTATGATAAAAAATATTTAATAACAAATAATTTCAATATGTTACACTCTGATAGGATGACAAAGCTTTTCTAAGTGCTTTGTTTCTTAGAATTTACATTTTTCATTAATTTAGAGGGAAACTGATTTTTTATTAAGTAACTGGCCTCATTAAAAGTGAGTTCCACAAAATAAACAATCAAAATAATAATTCTTGTTAAGCTATTCAAGTTTGTTAATGTGTTTTTTATTATTATTTTAGATAAAATAACATTTGGATTCAACTGCCTCCTACATAATTACCTACTGACTCCTGAAGTAACAAGATCAGGAGTAATTGGTATACAAAATCTCAATTATTGGGACAAGGTATGTAGATTGTATTTAAATTGAAAATGAAAACATTGCATAAAATAATTCTATTTATATTCTTCTTTTTTTCTCTTTGAATCTAAATAAGCTACTAGTTCTTTTGAAATTATAATCTTTATTCTAATTTTGTCGAAAAGTGGAGTATGACATTTTATTAGTGTTTTAAAGAGTCAAACAGAACATAAATACATGTATAGTGACTAAAAAAGGGGAGGGAAAATACTGAGAATTATCAGTATTAATCACAGATTATATTAAAACTCAGCATATATTCTGTGTGCTTATAGAAGGGAGGCTGTTTAGGCTTAATATATACATACTCAAGCACTCTCAGATGGTAATCATAATGTGCTATGTTGACTATTATGAAAAAATCTTGTTCAAAGACTGTTTAAGTTGGATTATTCTGAAGAATGAGGAGTGATGACCAGTTAGCACTTTTGATTTTTTTTTTTTGTTATGAGTTATAATTCTTTTTCCTTTTATTCTTGCTCATCCTCTATCTTTGTTTTATATATTTCTGTATATATTAAATATATACTTTTAAAATGTCTGTTCTTAAAACCCTGATATTCTAAATTGGTCAAAAATTCTATTTACTTTCTTGCAGGTAAAGGGTGGTGAAGATACAGAACGAAATGAAGAAGTGTTTATCAGAGAAAATATTGACAGGTTTGTTTTATTTCTCTTACCTATTTTTATGAATATACGAGTGCAATGATTAGTGATTCAGGATAAGAAATCAGAGAGCTGAGTTAATATTCTGGTTGAGTTAGGTACAATCACTTTCACAGAAATAACTTAGGTAAAGTCTGAATCAACCTCTTCTCTCCCTACACCAGTTATAGTTTAAATAGCAGGGCAGACCGAGTTCTCTAGTCATGGTTGGCAACCAGTCTAGGAAAAGAACAACTTTGAATTCAAAGCCTAGCCATATGAAACTAAGCTATATAAAGATGTTTAGATATGGAGTACAAACACTGTGTCATATACATTAATTCCCTTAATTAGAATTTTTTTTGTAATTATTACCTCCCTTAGGACTCTGTTTAATATATATTTTGTCTTGCTCTTTTTTTTATTTAGTGTTTGCTCCATCACAGGCCACTTTATTTATTAAAGGTTTGTTAAGGTATTTTGTGGTCCTGTTGTTCTTATAACAGTCTGTAGAACAAAAACACAATAGCTTTTAACTCCCCCCCTCCCCCCAAGAGAGACCATCTAGAATATGGTTGACGCCAATGGGCATTGTATTTAGGGAAAATGGAACAGAAAAATTCTATATATTTTTTTTTTGTAATCTTATAATATGCACAATATAAACAATTATTTAATTGAATTGTAATACCAATTAAATGCAAGTTATTACTGATATTTTTTTTTTTTTTTTTTTAATATAGTACTCAATATCCTGTGGACAGAGCCACATATAGTGTAAATGTTTTTTGTTTTTTTTATCTTATTAAAATGGGACAAGCAGATGCATAAACTAAAAATTTAATGCTAATAGAACCGATTGTCATACACTTAAAATTAAATCAGTTTTGGTCCTGTTTTGATCAACCTTTTCAAACTGACACTTCAAAGATAAATTATGATCAATAGAACTAGAAGCATTTCAACATCTTGATTCCCTACTTAAAATAATTATCCCTCCGACCCCCTTCTACTTCTCCAATTCATATTTTCCTATTGGTAAGGGTAATGTTATCCATTTCTTTATATGGAAACATTTAACATTCATTGAGCAAGTGCTACTCTAGTTTCACTTTTCTTTACACCCTGACCATCAACAAGCTGGGATCAAAGTGTAGTATCTGTTCTCATCTTTAATGGGTAATATTAGCCATTTCTTTAGAAGGAAACCTTTGACATCCATTGATTGAGAAGGCAGTGTTGCTTTTGCTTGAAATTTATAAAATATTTCTCTTAAAACAGTTTTTCAGGAAATTGTTTTTTCAAATTCACTCTTTCCAGTATTGTTGGGGGGGGGTTCCTTCCTTGCTTTAAGTTTGAAGTAGTGTGGAATGCTAGTATCTTCATTGTATAATTATTCTCTCTTCGAGTTACATGTGATATCCATTTTAGTTGAAGATATATCATTATTGTAAAGAGGTAAATAGAAAAAAAAATTTAATTATTGTGCAATTTTTTTTTGTTATTCCTCTATAGAGATCTGTGAAGTAAGGAGCAATAGTCTACTTTCTTTTTTTAATTCTTTATCCAATTTACAATAATTATATATTTTTTCTTTCTTTTTGTTCTTCATTTCCCCTCTTACACTTTTAATATATTCATTTTTACTGCAATAATCTTGTCATTCACAAATTCAGTACAAGTCTTCAGCTGTCTTGTTACCACATTTCTCAGTTGGAAATCTATTCACTCTTTTGAATCAAATTATACATTTTTACATATGTTTCTTTTTCCTTTTTTTTTATCTGTAGAGTTTACAATGATGTACCAAATGAAATTGTAATTGGTAATATGGCTGGAAGCCGGACTCTTATGGTGAAGACATTCAACTTTCCAGATGTTGGTGAGTAAGAAGTTTTTATGGTTTCAATTGGAAGTTCTTTGGAAATTGCAAATAATTCAATTAAAATTTTATTCTGTAGTAATTTCCAACTAGTATTTTTGAGATGAAGAATTAATATTAATTGTATTAATATTTGGACTAGCATTCACATCCCAGTTGTGATACTCAAACTGTTTTGGCTATTGCATCCTGCAGCTTTCTTCAAATGTCTTATATATATATATATATATATATATATATATATATATATATATATATATATATATATATATATATATATATATATATATATATATATATTTATATATATATAATCCGGTGTTATATAGATATTTTGTGACCTAGTAATATACATACTTATACTTGATGTGAAAATAATTTTACATACAGTGATTCTAATACATTTACTTGTTTTAAAAAGAAATATATTAGAAATTAAAAGGAAAATTTTTTTTAAATCGTAGTTAAATAAAACATATTCTAACCTAAACACCCCTGCAAAAATCTTTAAGTATACAAATAGAAAAAAATGCCGTAAGAATTTTTGCCGTTTTTCCAGATGACATGCATTTAATGGATGTCGGAATTCATTGAAAAATACATCCCTACCCCTACCAAAACGTAACTAATAACTGATACATCAAAATACAGTGATAATGAACTTGCAAACCCCCCTTGTCTAGATGAATGGGTTTCTCTGTTTCCTTGGAAATGTGAATTAAGATTTTTGCTGTGCTTTTAAAACCCAGTAATAAGTTACTCCAAAATTCACTTGAGGATGAAATTGAACTAATGTCTTTAATTTAATTACAAAATTAAATTCGAAGCTTTTAGCTTTCATTTTTGAAACATGGTTAGAACTGTGTAACAAAAAAAAACATATTTTAAATCAATTAATTTATGATATATATATCTGTGTGTGTATGATTTCAATATAGTTAGGGTGTTGGTGTTACTTTGCAAAAAGTTCCATAGCTAGAACAGATAAATTTAAAATTTTAAAATAATTACAGAGCGTGTTCATGCATGTTTTTTAGAAATCAGCATTATAACAAAATGCAAATTTTATCACAGTTACAATAAATTTGTCTTTGTAATTTACCCCTGAAGATGACTGTGGAAAAGATGTACTCAGGTTAGAAAAAACTATGGTGCCTTCCTTGATGAATTTCATTTTAACATCAAGCAACTGATTATACTACTAAAAAGGATCAGTAAAAAAAAAAAAAAAATAAGTAGACACAATGTCTATATTATTCAGATTGTGCCAGGAAGAAAAGTTGGCAATCTTGGTGTTTCTGATTCTAGGATTGCTATTGACTAAAAGAGTGGAACTAAAGATGAGATGTTTGCATGCAAAAAAGCATTTCATAGCTAATATGGAACCCAGATGACACATCCAAGCCTCCCTGCAAAATATTGTATTCTTTATATTTAAAGTGTAAACTGCTAGTGCTACTCAATAAAGAATGATCGTAGTCTGTAAGAGTGAATCTTGAGTTACTTTAGTTTTATTCTTCATTTTATTTATCTTATATATAATTTTTTTTCAACATAATCTTCTTTGTCAATTCACTACACGATAGGTAAAAAGTTTGGGGACACCCTGCATTTCTTTAAAAACACTTGAAAATGAGATATTTTCGTATTTATTTTTTTTAAGTAAAAGATAAAATTTCAGTAACTATAATTGCTTTTATTTTGACAAAAAATCAGCACTTAAAAATAAAAAGTTATCATACAACAGAGGATCAAATTTTGTTTTTCTCTATAGAACCACTGCAAAGACAGATCTAAATTTGAACTTGGTGAAAGAATGAAAAATAAAAACAAATATACTGTAGTTACTGAAATTTTATCTTTTACTTTAAAAAGAAAATACAAAATGTCTCATTTTAATGTGTGTGTTGTTTTTTTTTTTTTGCAGGGGAGCTGCAAACTTTTGCCTGTAGTATAATTCAGTGGTGAATATTAATCCTATGAATTTAATATTACACAATGAAAATTTCAGATCAAAATTCTATTAATAACTGCATGTTATGCTAATGTGGACTTACTATGTCTTTTTTTTTTTTTTTTTCTCTCTCTCCTTGACAGTTATTTGGAATCCTTGGAAAGATAAAGCAAAGAGCGTCTATAATTTGGGTGATAATGAATATCGAAAGTTCATTTGTGTAGAGCCTGGTCGAGTAAAACATGATGCAGTTCTAAAACCTGGCCAGAGTTTTGAATGTTCCCAAATTATTGCTGCCATAACAGCTCTTCTCTGATTAACATCAGACTGTTTCTTTTTGGACATTTGTTAAAAACTGGGTTTGTTGGGAGGGAGAAAAAAAACATTTTATTCCCTCTGTTTTCCTTGCTTATTTCTCGATCATTTTAAAACAGTTTGAATGTTTTCCTCATTTAACTTTACTACTTGTTTTTGTTTAAAATTCAATGGCTTTTTTTTTTTTTTTTTTTTTTTTTTTTTATTTTAGATTTTATTTGGGGCAAAAATCTAGCTTTTAGGGATTTGTATGTTGGTGCATACAAGTGAAAAACTTTTTCTTTTTTTTTTTTTAATCACTTGAAAAAAATTGATGTGTTTTGATGTAACAAATATGTGTTGATGAGGGAGTGTAAATGAAAAAATTTTACTCAAGAATTTGTTTAAATTTAAGTAAATATCATTGGCTGAAGAGTATTAAAACTTTTCTAGAGAGAAAACAAAATCCTTGAATATTTCTGCTACGAAATCGGAATATTTTGTGTCATATCCATATTAAGAATTAAAGATGGCAAATTAAATCTTTCTATTCTTAAAAAAAAAAAAAAAAATCTGTTGAAATGTGGTATTATATTCTTTGTACTTGCAATTTGCTATGAATCGACTCTAATCTTTTAAGATTAAAGACAAAATTTTTTTAATCTAACATTTTCCCTGGATTTTATGAATTGAAACTCAATTTTTGGATATGTATGTTCAAAAAGTAAAACCAATTTTCTTTCCTTTGTAGCAAATTAAGATTTTTTTTTCTTGTTAAATTGATCTTGCAAACAAATTTATGTAATTTATAATTATTTGTTGATGTGTAATTTATTTAAATGATAATTGCTTAGAATTATGCATGAATATAGATATGTTAATTCATTACTTCTGTTCTGAATAAGATTTTCTTGTTGTTAATCATACATTGCGATTGAATGAACTTCTAAAATTTTGAAGCCCTTTTTATCAGCATAGATTATGAAAAGAAATGACGTCTTTCTAAAAATTTTTCTTTAAAAAAATTTAGAACAAAGAAAGAAGTATGACAGTTATCAGAAAAAAAGAGAGCAGAAAATTCTTAAAAGAAAAGCCAATCATTTTTATTTTCAATTTGCCATGAATAAGCTCCAGAATTTGGATTTAAAGTCTAAATATTTTAAAAAATGAACATGAAACTACAAGCTGAATATTTTCTTTTTTGTTACTGCCTACTCTATTGGATGTGGTGTGTGTACAGTATGAATTGATATTAATGGCTGTTCAGGTATTGTTTTTCTCATTCTTTGTAATTTATTGAGAAAAAAACTAAATTCCAAAAAAATATATTTATAATTAATACTGTATTTACCAGTGTCAAGGATACAGTTTTATTTCTGAAATGAGTCTTGAAAATTTGATTTGTGTCCTTAAGGATAAAGTAGGCCCATTCTAACTCTAGAGGAAGGTTACATATATTTTTTTTTTAAATTGGTATCACCCCATGCAAGGCAGTAAAGCCAGTAAAATACAAAGGGTTACAGGGCATGGAAGAATTAGGGACAGAAACATAAATAATGAGTGGGAAGAGAAAAGAGTAATCAGGAGGACAGTAGATATCAATTGACATTGCATTTAAATTTTTGTGGATTAAAGTTGGCTGGAAAGCAAGAAGCCAGAAGGGAGTTCCACAAGCGAGAAGTGCAAGAAAAACTGTTAGCATAGAACTTAGTTACATCTAGCCAGCTTAACTGTAAATTAAGGAGATCTAGTTGTGTGCTTTAAATTCATAAAGTCTAGGTACCATGCCAGAATTCCTGATGTTATGCAAATTTTTGACTTTTTTCAGGAAAAAAAAAAACTGTGCTCATGATGCTGACAAATATGGTAAGTTTTAAATATAAGAACATTTTTTTAACAATTATTTGCTAGTATTTTTTAAATCAATTTGAATCTTGTTTATAAAATATCTTGAAAATATTTTTATCTTTTCTATTTATTAAAAAACACTCATTTTTCTTTATTTTTATCTGCATGGATTGATTAACAAAATCTCCAATGTAGGTAAAGTATACATTAACTAATTACTCAAATTGATTTTTTCCTTTTCCTTGAAAAAATCCATTGTTTTTTATATATATATATATATATATATATATATATATATATATATATATATATATATATTCATTGAATAATATAGACGTATTATGTTTATTTTTGTAATAATCCTTTCTAGTTCTCTAATTATCTTCTTGATGTTAAGTTGATATATTTCTAAAGCAAGCAACCAACACTGAACAAAATTTATTATGAGTGCAATAGCAATGTTTTAAAATGCATTTGAGTTGACTAACATTTAACGCCAGGTTGCACTTTTACCATTTCTAGTTATCTCCCTTACATCGTGGATGCTTGTTTACAAAAACATTGTAGCTACAATGGATAACATGTTTACAAAAATCGCGATTACAGTTACATTGTCTTTGCAATTCACCCCTGAGGATGATTTCTGAGGTGATCAAAAGTGCTTGGATTAACAAAAACAATGGTATCTTCCTTGATGAATTTCACCTTAATATCAAGAAGCTAATTAGAGAACTAGAAAGGATTATTATAAAAAATAAACATAATATGCCTATATTATTCAATGAAACATGCTTGAATGCAGATATGCTGCCTAAATATACATATGTCATTATTACGAAAACAAGATAAAAATATTCTCTGATTCTTCTGTAATGTTACACTGCACATATATTTTTGCGACTGTTGAAAGAAAAAAAAGTATTGTTTAAAGTTTTTAAATTAAAATCTAATCAAAATTTCTTCCAGTTCACATTTCCTGGCCACCTGATAAAATACTTAATGAAAAGTAACTTTGTGTTTATCATAAATAATGTATGACTTTAAAAATTTTAATTCCAGAATTCATTATGTCTTACGATAGGTTGTTTCTGAGTGAAGTGGGTTTGTGTCTTCCTAACTATGTTAATCTTCAAGTGTAAAAAAAAAAAAAAAAATATTAGATTAAATTCATTGAACTACTACTACTACTATTATTATTATTATTACAATTACAGTCTGACCTCTTCAATCAGCACTCTTGGGACCAGGCCTCTGCTGGACCACAGATAATAATGACATAAAAACTATGTAGACATAGTGTTGCCAGCTCATTCCACATTTTTGGTATTGATTATATATATATATATATATATATATATATATATAGATAGAGAGTGAGTGAGGATAATTCTAAACTGTAGGTGTCTCCACTAATGCAAATGAATTGAGCACTATGGCTGTCTGGCATTTGTTTTCATTTGTAAAAAAATAATATGCTAGAATTTCCTTTTCCTTCTACCGTGCGCTGATAGCTCATGGGTAGAAACTTCAACTGATGACAAATTTTTGTCAGGTTTCGATCCCAGCTTGAAGTAATCAGATGTCTAGCCACACTGATGAGTTGATGAGCTGTGATACAGCATAACAAGCCTGTATGTGGATGACAAAATATATATATATATATATATATATATATATATATGAAAACTCACTACATGCACTGGTTTTACTACAACCACATTCTCCCATAGACTTACTTGTTACCTTTCAGATCTTAATTACATCAACATTTCTTAGCAAAATCATAGCCATGTACATAATATTAGATAGATATTAGTTCATAACACAACATTACTCAGACATACACACAGTAAAAAGAACCTTAAGATATTGGAGGCTATCTACATTAAACCAAAGCAACTCACACTCTACAAAATTACATTTCAAACCCCCTCATAACATATTACAATGCATTTAAATATATGGTTCTGTTGATAACATTTCTCTCTCATGGGATCATGTATGACATCATAGAACAGCATTATGAATTTATGACCTGCGTCTGCTATTCCACGACTGTTATCATTACATACCAAACTTCTATGTAAACAAAACAGGATGTCATATTTGATCGTGAACATCTCTGTTGTAATATCCATATAACCATTCTGATGATGACTCATATCAGCTGAAAGCTTAGATCAACAACCAATAAAGAAATATCCAAATGCTGGACAGTTTTTGTCTTTATTTTCTCTTGAAAATAAAGCCATAATATGATGCTTGGAAATGCTCATGATAAAACATAATAGACATTCATTGTATGTTATATTTAACAATATATACCTGAATATATATATATATATATATATATATATATAATATATATACACTCACACTAGCAATATAACCCATCTTTGACCAGGTATTTCATTACTGGGAATTTTTGCCATTTAATTGGAGCAGTTTAAGTTTAAAGTTAGCCCACCCGAAAATCAATAATTGTAACAACATTTGGGTGCAACTAAGGCATATCCCCAAATGGAGGGTGGCTTTGAAAAGGGCCGTTTTTATTTTCTCAATCTTGTTTCAGCCTCACTCATAGCAGTAGTTCAAGGGATGATTCTCCTCAGCCATTGAGTCCTTTCATCAGCAGTTTCTGCCTCATGCGCAGCAGCAGTTGAAGAGGCATTTCTCCTCAGCCATTGTGTCCTTTATTCATCATGTTCAGCCTCAATATTAGTAACAAAAATTAAGTGCAACTGAGGCATATTCCCAAATAGTGGGGGGCTTGAAAAGGGCCATTTTCGTGTTCTCAATCCTGCATGCAGAAGTGTTCAGGTATGATTTTCTGGAAAGCCGATGGCTACATTGATCTTCAGACTCAATGGCTCTGATTGAAGCATTCCAAGAGGCATTTTCAGACAGGCAAACTGAATGTTCTAAAGACGATTCGTTATCTCTTATTTGCATGGTGGACCTGGCGGCAGCAGTTTTATGACATAGGCAAGTTCTTTTCTTTGGTGGTATGTCTTAAGCAAGTATGAATTGTCAAATGGAATGCGTGGGCAAATACCAGAAGAGAACGCTGTAAAGCTACAGGAATCACTAAGCTCGAATAACTTTAGGAAAGGTTGGAAAAATAAATGCTGAGTAATAGAAAAGCAAACTTACTTATTACAGTGAATGCAATGCAAAAACTGTCAGGACAATAAAAAAATTTAAATTGGGAACTGCTATAAATGAATTTCTTAAAACTGTAGTAGTAGGCTTTATGCAATGGAAAAGGTAACCTCACTTGAGAGAGATTGAAAGCTTGGCCAAGGGAAGGAGAATGTGTAAGCAGGGCTGGACATACAGAAGTATAAGTGGGATTAAGCAATAGCAATGAGCTTAGGACTGTGTAGACAATCGGTATTATACGGCAACATTTGATTGGACGTGTAAAGGGGCTTTGTGCAGCCAATGGGCAACTCAAACAGGTGTCGCATTCAACAGGTCATATGTATGTGTGTGCATCAGCATGTAACAGCGCGTGTTACAGGGCCACATGTACATGTGTTGCTGCACTTGCTAATTATCAAGGTCAGCAGCAACCGACGAGCAATATGTGGAGGTGTGAATCACGCCTACACAGCATGGGCTAGGATTGGAAGGTTATGTGTGAAAAAGTAATATTAGGAAATGTATTAGGCAAATGAAACTGAGAGAACATGAACAAACAAAACTTGGTAAATAGACACACGGAGTTGCAGAATGAGTGGGTTTACTTGTATGCAGGCAGAATGGTACCTAAACATTGAGGTAACAGGGTACATCTTGCACCTGTAAAACTTATTTTAGGTTCGCTACAATTGAGCAATTGTTTCACAGGAAAAATGATGAAAATACGATATCCCTGACAAAAGTGATCTTGCTTGAAGCATTATCACCCACTCCCTCCAAAAAATGTTATTTTGCATGCCTGTTGCCTTGTACAGCCATGCATTGAACACCTCTGCAAATGCTACATGATCGTCTCTTCACTGTGCATCTTTTTCATTAGATTTCAATGCTCTAAATTGATTGTACGCTGTTTTTTACAGACATTAAGTTTTGCCTTTGATTTTTGTGCAGAGTGTAAAAAGTCAGTTTTTCGATTTTTGACCTTCAAGATTGTAATTTTTTTCGAGCCAATTTGGACTCGAAACTGGCACTGAAGAATTATCTATCAAACAAAAAAATTCATTGAAATCTGATGAAAACTGGAAATGCATAAACAACATCTGATCATACACACACACACACACACACACACACACACACACACACGCAGTTTGAGAATTATAGATTACCTTTTCAGGTTCTCTTCACAGATAATTTAATTATAATTAGTTATTATTTATAATTATATTAATTATAATATTAATAATAATTATTTATAATTTATATAATTAACTGTATAATAATAATATTATTGTAATAATTTAAACTATTTATTTTTATTAAAGTTTTTATGAAAGATGTGTATCTAAGAACAGATAGTAAAAAGTTGCTGAGAGTTATGATGGACAGGAAGTAGTGGAGAGCCATTGTCACCAACAATTTTGGAATCAAAACTGACACGAAGAATTATCTATCAAACAAAAAAAAAATTTTCATCAAAATCGGATGAAAACTGTGGAAATGCATAAACATCCAATCACACACACACACACACACACACATTTTTTGAGAATTTTTTTATATATATATATATATATATATATATATATATATATATATATATATAAAAAAGAGAACAAATCCATTATCAAGCATAATTCTGTTTTTTTTTTTTTTTTTCCTTAGGCACCTCATGGGGATGAAATTTCCTACTTAGCAGTAATAATGTGCAAAATTAGCTAGTTAACCATTACATGTTGATGAGGTACCTAAATATTAAAATTTGTATGCAGCAGTACTGACCACCTTTTCTGTAACTATAGGAAAAATATTTATATGGATTTTATACCCCCGCCCCCAAAATGCTCCCACCTACACACTCACTTCACCTGGTGTTCTTTAATTT